TATATTTATTTCTTGGTGAGAGTGATATGCTACAAGGTACAGTATTCTGGGATCAAAATCAATGGGATATATTAAGTCCCTAATGTATTCCTGTTGTGAAACACACCCTTATTTCTGCAAAAAGGGATCACTTAGGTAGATGCTCTCCTTCATATGGCTGTTGTGGCCTGGAGATCCACACTGGGTCCCTCCTTTCCCAGTTCCCTGAGCAGGGGCCAGTAAGAGCTCTGCTATAACGTTATCTAAATGCAGGTCTTGTTTCCCACTTGCTGGGCTGTGACACCATGTGATGGAGAGCAGGTTTTGTGTGTCAACAGCCATCCTGGTCCCCAGATTGTACTCTTCCAATGGCAAGCACAGGTTGACAGACTGAAACCAGAAGCTGAGGAGCAAGAGTCATACATTTTTTGTGGCAACTCTCTTTGGGAAACACGGCATCTCTGTCCCACTCCTGCTCAGCACCATGACAGCATTATCCTCTGAGAGGAGAGGGTTATCGAGGGTGGGGTCTTTCCCTGTGCTATGGTGTGGGGCTGGATAACATTGATAGCAACTGAAATAGGAGGCAGATCTCCCAGCAGAGGAATTAGTTTTATATATTACGAAATAAAGGCATTCAGCTCATCCTCTGTGTTATATATAGCATGCACATCTAGCTAGGTGCATGGCAAGGTTTATTTCTCCTTCTTTACATTGTTTACATTATTCCACCACACTAATTACATCTCATAACCCTGCATAATTTTGCCCCACCACAAAACATAGTATGGCATCTTAGATTGTCCTTAGTCAGTACTGTCAGATCTTGTGAGCTGAAAAATTATAGAGAAGTTTATAGCAAGATGATAGCAAGAAATTAATGCAAATTTTAGTTTTCCCCATTGCCACAAAATCTCAAGAGAATAAAAGAGGATTATTTCAGATTGAGACACCTGAGCTGAGTAAGTGTTGAAATATTAGTAGGACACCAGAGATTGGTCCAGATGGCTGATGGTGGAGGTGAAGCCAAGTGTGTCTGAAACCCTCAAATTTAAACACTAAGTGGGGCTTTGGGAAGGGTCTGTGTTTATTAAAGGACTTTAGAGAAAAGCCATTATTTCATCTTGACATTTAAAAAATAAAAACACTAAACAAGGAAGTGTCAAGTGCAGGGTAAAGAACAGCAGCAGTACAGCTCACTCCTTTGCATATCACACTGAGTACAGAATTTGCTGTTCTGACACAAGCAACAGTACCTTACTGGCCGCATGTGCGTGGGAGGCTGGGTTGAATCCCTTGGAGCTGGTGGCTACATGAGCTGCTTCAACTCAGGATTACTGTAAAGAAGCAACTTGCACTGTGTAATAAGAGAACGAAAACGATGTTTATCTCCTCCCCTAATGCTGGCATGCCTTGTCAAACATGCTTTTTCCATGTCAGACACCCAGGAGCTGGCGCTGCCTGCAGGCACTGCAGGCAAAGTGAGCAGGGAGGAATGGGAGGAGTGGTGTGACCATAACTCTATGACAATGTGACCATGATTCATTTCTGCACAGAAAGGTACATGTGCATCCCCAAAAGGGGTTTCACTGCCAAATGTTTTGTGAGGATGCCACTATCTAAGAGGCCAGCAGCTTTGAGGCAGGAAGCAGCAAGTGTGCATCAGGCACCAAGTTAGTGCATGCAGGGACATGTGCATGCAATCCATCTGAAGGGAAGGCCACACAGTACATCCTTTTCATCTCTCTGCTGGTTGGAAGAGGCTTGGAGCCATGGTATGGCAGCTTGGGCTTTGAAAACCACGTCTTCTTTGTCTTGGCTGGTTAGGGCATGCTCATTTTCTGGCTTACCTTCAGCAATACACAAACAATCCAGGATGTTCTTTGAAAGTATTGATGATCACTTTCTAGTACAAGGGGTGGAGAGGCCAATGACAAAGGATGTGGTGTTGCACCTCACACCAACCACAAATATTTGAAAGGTTGTGGCCAGGAGAGGCGCCTGAGAGCTGGAAGAAAGCAAACATCACCCAGTTAAAGGGCAAGAAGGAGGATCCAGGGATCTACAGGCCAGTCAGCCTCACCTCAAACTGAGGTCAGGCCAGTCAATCACTCCTCAGGCTGGGTTAGTGCTGACTTGCACTATTTCATTGTGAATCACCAGATGCTTGGGTGATTAGGAACACTGCCAAAGCAATTTCATTAAGTCTCTCTGTAGGATGATTTTGTTCTTTGTCTGGGCAGTTTCTGTTGGAAATACCTGTCCTAGCCTGTCTACTTGGATGAATGTCTAGGACTACCTGGGGAGAAGACATCCAAGAGAGTGATGTGGGAGAAAAGGTAGTTTTCAAATAATTCAGTGGTCAAATTATGTCACATTAGCATGCAAAGTGTCACCTTCCAGCAGAATATTTGGGAGAAGGAGGGAAGTGTACAGAGGTGTGCAAAAAAAAGATCCAGCATGGTTCTCTCCAGCAAAAAATTTCCACTTATCATAGCGGTGCAATGTCAAGCAATTAATTGACTGCAAGTTAAATACCAACTCTAACAAATTACTACTTTCTTTGTATTTATGCATTTATTTCAAAATACAGTATTTGTCACTTCACAAACAGTTTAAAGTGGGAAAAATGGTAGCTAGGTGAATGAACACACCTTGTCTTGTGTACTGAACTTCATGAACTGATGTTTTTGGAGTGTTTGAAGTGCAGAGAGATAAGCAGAAATCTATGGGATCAAAGCTTCTTCCACAATGTCTGAAAGCTGGGGATTGGACTTCTTCTCATTATTGTGTAGGCTGCTGGGAGCTCATCTCAGCAGAAGCATGACTTGGGGCATGACTATAAGAAACAACAGATGTAAAAACAATTGTCTGTAAACTGCATGCATCTCAGCTTTGTTAGGAAAAACCCTAATCACAACAGCCAATAAGCAACAAAATCATAACCCCATAAGTAAAAATTAAAGACGCATTTTGCTTTTATAAGGTAAGCTTGGAAAATACTTGGAATCAAAGAAGGTTTGGTGTCACCAACATTTGTTTTTCACTGATTTCAGTGCGAAATCATAGAAACATCTTTCCATGATAGGCACAGATTACCATAAGCTTCCCATATACATTGTATGTTAGTTGTGTGGCATGTGTAGCTGGAACTTGTGTACCTTTGCCCGTGTATTCTCTCTACTCTCATGTACTGAGTAAATTTACATCCTTTCTGTTTAGAGTAGTGGAGCTCATTATGATCCTTAGTAAAAATACATGAAGTAGAGGAAATGAGAGATTAAGAGTACTTTGGTAATCCCCAAAATGCAAAGGCATTGTTAGCATTTAACAGCCATTGCTGGCAGTGACATTTCTAAATGCTGCAATTGGCAAATAAAAGGGAAATATTAGTTTCTGCACTCATATGGATGGTGCAGTTTCAAAGCCCTTATTACACATTCCAAACAGGAATCCAGCAATGCAAAGGTCTTTTGCCAAGTCCCTTCATGAACAGAATTTTACCCTGAAAATACAAGTTGCATTTCTATGGAGCATTTTAATTGGATATGTCTGGACTTAAACTGAAGAAGTACCTCTAACTTCAGCCATGAATCAGTATTTCTCTGTTCCTTGGTAGGATTATTCTTGTTCCATCACTGTCTACTTGTTTTGCTTTTTTGTCATTGCTAGCTCCAGAATTTTTGGAATACCTTTAACATCTCTGGGAGTGTATCTGCCTTTATTCATCTTCAGAGGAATGCTTGTCTAGAGATCCTTGTTCTTAATCAACGATGGCAAGTCCACAAAGTAACATTGCTATTATAAAGCCATGCCAAACCGCATGGATTCACACATTCCCAGCACTGGTCAGTTTTACTCCATTTGCTCCTCAGAAGAAGCATTGCTGGGCCATGTACATTCATTGCAGAAATGACTGTTTAGAAGTGGTTTAAGTCAAGAGTTTCAGTAAATAAAGGAAATTCCAGAGATCTCAAAGTACATTTTACTGTGATGTGTTGTGACTGCACATTTGCTTTCCTCAAACCATGTAGTTTAGTGCAAAGCTCTTGTCCACTCTGCTGATAAAATGACAAAAAGTATGCGGAGTCATGTTCCAAGAGGATCATGATCAATTAGGTTCTTCCCAGACTAATTATTCATCTTTTTCCCTGCTCATGCAGATATTGCCCCTGCATCAGCCTTTCCACAGCGGTAAGCCTCTTTGCTCTTCATATAAATATTTGTGTTGGAAAAACAGGCAGTACAAATGACTTGACATTTTTGGAAAATATAGTGTAGGCCTTTGTGGTAGGATGGGGCAAGAAAAAATGAGTCAGAAGATCTTGATTCTGATGTTTCTTCAAGTCTTCCTAGAAAATGAGTGTTTGTCTGTCTTTCATCTTAGGCAGGGACCTGGTGGTTAACAAGATATTTCTGGAGATTAAACCCCACTGTCATATTTCCCTACAGAAAAGCACTTTTAGTCACCAATGCCAACCTCTTCTCCTCCAGCAAATGCATCTGTTAAGAAAAGAAATACTATCAGCAGGGCAACAGGTGGCATATTGCAGCCAATCTTGAAAGGTTATAATAAGAGGGAGTGTGAGCGAGAGGAGAAAAACTGGAAAAGAGGGTGACTAAGATGAAGGAAAAGGCAGTGGCAAGCATTTTTTCCTGCTATTGCACTTACAGTGTTCTGGAATAAAAATCTGATGACTTTGCAACACTGGGCTAGGGTACTGCCCTGGAAATGCATTGCCCATTGTGCTGTTCTCTGTTTGCTTAGAAGGAATTCAGACGGGATTTGCTTTCTCTTGTTTCATGAGCCCCACGCTTTCACACTGACCAAAGTGGATACACACCAGCTGGCCACGTCCGTCACCACCACTGGGTGGGAGAATTCCTGATTATACTTAGATCCCTCAGACCCCACTCTGTCACTTGCTGAGAAGCTCTGCTTGAACACTGCTTCCGAAATGCAGCCGGCTGGGAAGTCTGCACGCCTTGCCTGAAGGAGCTGGATGCCTTCTGGATCAAACATGAATGACCTGCTGAAGGTGCCGCTGGTGCACGTCCTCACCCTGGCAGCCCTCAGCTTGGCTGAGACAGTTCTGAAAGGTTTGCTTTTTCCCTGCTCTTCTTCTACCGTTTGCTGAAGGCGGTTTTGCAAAGGGGAAGGTGTCTCTGTTACAGTGGGGAGGGTGGTGCTGTAGCGTTCCCAAAAAAGACAAAAATGGTCTGCTTTCAATGGTCACTGCTCTGCTTTTGGAAGGATAGCAGAGAAAATATTCTCATATTTGTGTTTGGAATTGAATTCTTTGTCTGTGAAGAGCACATAGTCCATTGTAATAGGCAGGGGAGACCTTTGGGTTCAGCTTGGGTGGGATGTAAATTTCTCCTGTGAAAGGAAGCTTAGAAGTGTTAATGGCTGGTAGCACCAGTTGCTGCAGAGCACAAGATCTGTTATATTCAGCACATCTGTGTAGGTTTTTAAGTATATAAAGCTTCAAAATAAATAAATATCTGTGATGTCTTTACAAAAAACACATATATATGTACAAATATGCACTGTTTGGTGTAGCGTATAACACAGAAGTTATCATACCTTCTTCCTATCTTGTGCGCACACATGCATATGGGCATATGCTCACATACTTTTAACTAACAAAAGAATTGGTAAAAAAAATATGTTTAGAAAAGTCTTTGAGGTAAAAATGCAACTGTGATACCATTCTGGATGTCCTGTTTGGTAAAGTTGTGGACAAGAATTTTTTCTGAACAGTGATTCAGATTTACAATTCAAAACTTTTGAAACTTTTGAAATTCAATGCTTACTAGAGACTTTGCAGCTTCAGAAAAACAAAATGAAATCTTAAAGGGAATGCCAGTATTCACATGTTAGGCCAACATTGCTGCTATTGCAGACCTGTGCTTTTACAGTTGTTAGTCAGGTTATTCTCAAAATGAAATAAAGAGAAATAACCTGTCTTCTTTACAAAAATGTTTTGAAACAAAAATATTGGTATATTTGTAAGGCACTGAAGTAAGTTTGTGAACTTAATGTTTGTGAATATTGTGGTAAGATAAGTAGTAGTGGAGAGACAAGAAAAACAAAGAGGACAGGGATAGATTTTTTTTCTGGTGTCGCAGTGTAATGAAGAGATACATTGCCTTTTCTAGGACATCACAGCTGAGCTGTTTTTTACCATACAAACTGCAGTTTCTTCAGGTGTCTGCAGTGTTGGAGAGGGACTGGTTCTGTTTTCCGTATTGTTTTGCTTGCCTGGTTGGTCTGGTTTCAAAAGTGTGAATCCAAAGCCAAAGCCAACACATTTGGAAGCTTCTGGTGGGCTGGGGACAGAAGGGAATTTGGCTTTCTCATGGTCCCGTGACCAGCCTTGGGTCATTTTTCTATCCCGGGAAACTACAGCTGACATCCAGAAAAATGGCACCTGTGTGGCTTTACACATATATAGATTAATTTATTTTCAATTTATTTAAAGCCACAAGGATACCTTAAAAATATGAGAAAGGCCTAGTATATGCATATGGAAATGCCTGTCTCCTTTTCGATGTGATGGTAGATATGTCTGTACATTGTTCAAATTTTATTTTCCTATGTTAAAATATGGTAATGCACACATCATGAGTTAAGAGTGCTTTCTGAAGAAAACATGGACTAACAACAGCATCCAAGCAGTTTGAATGGCTTTTAGATGTAAGTCCCTTCTCAGCCATTTCGGAACTCTGTTGCCACCTCACAAAATGACGGCAAGTCCCACTGCTCACTGTCCTTGCTTGGGTTAAATATCACAAAGGTGAAAAGAGCATAAAAGAAAGTTATACATCCCTGTTGCTGTCATGGTTGCTCTCTGAGGATGCAGAATTGGGAAGGCAGTTTTAAAATGATTTCTTTTTCTGTTACTGTAGTGCTGTCAGTTTTGGACACTATTTTCTTAGAAGCACGTGGCTTCATTCTGCCCAAAAATCTGTATGCTGGCTTTCAAAGGGACCAGGTCAGACCATGTCTATGCAATATTCTGTCATCTATTGAATAACAGACACACTTGAAAGTATGTAACTGTTTCTAGAGAATTTATTTAATATAGAAATCTGACAGGAAATGATTTATTTAATATAGAAACTTGTTCTTTGTTTCCCCAAAGAACAAAATACTGTCATTATGCATACCAGCTCTTGGCACAAATGTACCTTTATTATTTGTGGGAGTGGCTTTGTTCACTGTTACAACAGTTATAAAACTAATTGCTTTGAATTATTATTACTGTAAAAATTTACATTTCTCAGGGTTAGAAAAGGATCCATCCAGAGATCGAGGAATGTGGACAACAGCAACAAAACTGTACTATATAAAATTAGATTGCAAAACTCTGGGGTTAATGCCATTAAACCCCAATAAACTTTCCCATAAAATAGCAACGTTTCATTTAAAGCAGAGAGGATAACCATTGGTGGGGGTTATTCTCCTGAGACGTCCTTCAGTAGTAGGAAAATGAAGACTTTGTAGAAGTCTTCCATTTGGTTTCACTGGTACGGGATTCATCTGGGAAACGATACAGATGATTATATTTGTTTAATATGACCCAAAATGACCTAATAAAGTGATGCATGATACAATTTGAAGCAGTGATCTTAAACAATGAACTCGTCACAGACTTTTTCTAATTGAAGTTTCATCCATATGACTTTTAGAGCTATCTTAGATGTTGTTTAGAGATTTACATAAGTATACTCATTATTGTTAATCAGTGATACGATCCAAAGTCATACAGTCTAGAAATGTTATTGAGGCAGATTCATTCTGATCAAGCGTCAAAAGTGTTTAGAGTTTTACATAAACCTGATAGTGGAAGCTGATCCTTTCTTCCTCTAGCTTCATTCCGGCAGAACTCCAAAGACATTCTAATTTTGACTTCCATGTAAATTGAAAAAGGATTAAGATATTGATTTTCTATTATTCTCAGTCTCCTTAATCTGAATGTCTTCTCTTTTGCCCATTCTTTAGGGAGGGAAGGGTAAAATGGATATAGTTTATTTTTTGCCTGAATTTGAATCTCTTTGTACTATGGAGGGCCAGTAGATACACAGCAGTTGAGATTCTCTGTGAACAAATAATGGGCCAGAAGCTGCTATGCTCAGTGAGGAACAGGAAGACTCCTGAATCCATGATGTATTTTCAAGGTAGTGTTTCAGGAATATAGTAAAAACTAGTTTATCTCAGCACAGTTGTCAGCGAAATCCAGTCCAACCAATATGGATGTGTGTGTCTCTTGCAGCCATTGGTCCAGATATTCAAGTGTTTTGGAGGCAGAGGCTGCAATGAATAACATGAGCAGGGAAAGTGAGTGGCTAGGCTTATGCTTTGATCCCTTCCAGCTGTGCTGCAAGTCTTTCACCAGAGCGATGGCAAATGTTTCTAAAGATACATTCAACTAATGTATGACTACAGATTTATGATAATAAGCATTAGACATAGCTTTTAAACTTCTAACTCTCATGCTTCTTGGTTAGAAAATTTGAGAAAATGAGAATGAGTCCTAGACATGACAAAAATCTGAATGACCTGAATGGTCTTTGTGAGCCTGGCTTAGAAAAATATAATGCTGTATAATGGGTTTGGTGTTTGTATATAACAGGGGTTTTTTTGTTGCTGTTTTTTTTTTTTTTGTTGTTGTTGTTGCTTTTTCTTTAAAGATAAATAGTTGAGTGAATAAATGCTGTAATATTAACACAAAAGCCTACACCTCCTGCAGTAATAAGGAGGCACTCTTCCCACTCCAAGGGCAGGTCAGCTTGGCTTCAATTTTTGTGCTGCCCCTTGCACTTCCGGCCTATGCAATGCCACCCTTATTGCAGTGGGACATCCTCACCTGTGTCCTTGCAGTATGCGCACCTATTGCTGTGAGTCTTGAGGAAGAGATGAGTCAGAAACACAGGACACACTGATTTTGTTGGTGCTTGGTTTGCTCTGTTTTGCATCTTATGTAAAGACCTCAAGGGAAAATGCCATTGAGTGACCCTGCAGGGACATGGCTCCCTCCACCAAAGGTGTTTGATAGACTATGTAACACTCTCTGGTAGGCACCAGAAGATGTTCTCATTTTCTCTTCTTCACACAGCTCCTTTGATCAGCACTCCTCTGGAAACAGTGGATGCCCTGGTAGAAGATGCTGCCAAGTTTGTCTGTGTAGTGGAGTCATATCCTGAGCCAGAGATCACATGGACGCGCAACAGCATTCCCATCAGGTAGGGAGCAGCTGCAGCCCTCACCAGCACCTTCTGCCAAAATTGACAGTGCTTCTTTTCATGATACAGGAGATATCTGGAAATATAAAAATCGGTCTGTGGCAGGAGAGAGAATGAGTGGCTGTAATTATCTAGGATTCTGTATTTCTGAGGGAGTGGTAAGAGCACTTGAGGCTGCTCTTGCACCTTCACACATTTGAGTTTGCATAGAGTTGGTTTCTGTTGCAAGGAGATTTCTCCCCAGCTTCAGACAATTGAATGTGCTTTCTTCCTCAGTTCATCCATTTATGAAGGAGGAGGATGCTGTATAATATTTAAAAGGAGCTTAGCAGGGTTTGTTGTCTGTCTCAATGTTCTTGGAATCTTTGCATGAGAGGGGTTCTGCTGTGCCATTCTTTGCTTCTAGTTCTGGACTGGAAATTGTCTTCTCATTGTTTTGCACTGTCAGATGTTAACAACCAGGCATCAAGATGTCAACAAAGAAGGCAGCCTTCTGGAAGTGTGGAAATGTGTTATGAAAGTTGCTACCATTGTTTTTGCCCTTTTGCTGTAGACAGGTTTCTACAAAGTAAACTGTACATGATCTTCTAGCTCTGAAATCATCGTTACATCTGCCACATGGCTTCACATCAGTTTCTCATTCTAAACGGCTGTAAGTGACTTACTCTGTGAGGGAAAATGCAGCACAACACAACTTTGCATAACATAGTCAATACCCAGCCTCCACAGGAGATGTGCATATTGGGCAGATGGTCACCTGATGTATGGTTCTCACTGTTGTGGTTAAACATCCAAAAAGGTTTTGAACCACTGGCATAGGAGGCTTAAATAAGTCCACAGCAGAAGGAGGTCTCACTGCATGGAAAACTGCTTTAAAGTAGGACAAAGCAGAAAGTTACAAATATTAATATAGGCCTTCAGAAATTTTTTTCATTGTTGGCCATCTCAGCAAACTTTGGCCCTAATCTTCTGATCCTGACTTTGTTCCAGCATGAAGTTCTGAACTTCCATGGATGTTATTTCCAAATCAGGTCACCTTTCTCCTAATTCCTTCCCCATCTTTGACATTCATGACTGAAAATCAAAGCAGGGAGAGAAAGCCATCCATGAAGGACTGTCTTTCTCTTCCCATGTCTTTAAGATTATCATTCTTCTCTGTGTTCTAAGGTAATTTGAAATGCAGAACATTTATCACCTCAATCCCCTCTTCCAGAGGCAAAACATAATTCTTAAAGCCATTCCACTCTGTCTCTGAGACACAGTGCTTTGACCAAAATGGAAAATAAACATAAAATCATCTCTTATGGTAAGGCCATAGAGCTCAGGTGCTTCATTCCTTTACAGCGACTTCTGAAGCAGCATTAGTAACAGCAAGTGTTTCATTTCACAAGGCATTAATATTCAGTACTGCTGGATACAAAATCTCAGACCAAAGACAGAGGAAAATATATATGAATATATTTGTTACTTTCTAAAAACTCGGATGAAAGTACTTGCACACTGGAAAAGCATCAGATCAGAAGACACTTTTTTCTGAAAAAACCCCTATCTAAATGTATTTCTGTGCCTCTGTGTGCGTGTGTGTGTGTATCAAACTTCAATGGGTCTAGTAATTGAAAGCAATTAATATCAGTTATTTCGTTTCCAAAATTTTCTTCTCCTGCCAAGGTTCCAAGATCCTGGACAGACAGTAAGATTAACCTGCAAAAAACCCCAGTATGTAAACTTTGAACATCAATGAGAATAGAGCCAGTGCAGGCAATAGTCAGCACTAGTCTTCTGGATGTGCCTTTCCATTTGACATCAAAACTTGTGCAAGTAAGCCAGCAGGTGCCCTGTGCTGAGTGCAATGGTTACCTGGCCCATCGTCCAGACAGGGCTGCCCACAATGAGCCTTCCTTAGGACAAGAAGGGGACAGGGACAGCATGTCTTTTACATTGTGGATAACTTCATGGCACTCTTTCTTCCCAAGTTAGAAAAGAGGAGGGAGATGTAATACTGAGTGGTGAAATGCTTTGAAAGGAAATACATGCCTAAGCCATCATAACGGTACATTCAGATTAGTCAATGACTACTGTACAATTTTTAACAGTAAAACACAAAACTTGACATATGTAGTGGTCAGATACTTGTGATTGCTTGGGATAAAATCCTCAGGTCCCAACCCTTTTTCCACTGTTCATTAAAATCTAAGTCCAATTGCATGAAGGTGCTTCCTAAAAGCATCAACAAAGATGTGAAAATGGACACTACAAAAAGTTAATTTCTTTGTGTTTATTTATACTATTTCTTTATATTTATCATATCTTTGCAATGAAGATCGATACCTCAGCTCTCTGATTTCTCATCATTTTTCTTTCTGATTTCCTTGGCTCTCCCACTTGACTCCATATAGCCTCCCTACTCGCATACCACACTTGTCATGCTCACATATGAAATTGGTCTTTGGCCCACATACTTTGTTACAATATCCCATATTTTTGTTGATCCAGCTTCAGGGCTTTCTACAGTTCTCTGAAATATCCGGGTTAAAGCCTGCTGTCATTAAACCATAGCTATCCTTGAATCCTCTAGCTTGCAGATGGCTTCAGTACATTTCTTTGCTTGCTTGTTGGTTTGGTGGTTTTTTTGCAAAACAAATAGACAAAACTACTCCAGGATGTAGACACAAAAGTTCATGGTCTTTGTTTTGTGTCTTTTTTCACAACCTTAAAAATATTTCCATAACTTTATCTGTTTAATAAAAAAATCCCACTTCTTTTGCTTTGTTTTGTTTTGTTTTTCCTGAAGAAGGTTTTGTTTTGTTTTTCCTGAAGAAGGTTTCTTTAAACAATTTCAGTTGCCTCTAGTTCCTATGTAAGCATCATTCTCTCACATTGAACAATGATACCTAAACCAGGACCTGGCTGGAACTGATTATTTGTGCTCACGCCTGTCCTTGGCCAGTCAAAACCCCAAACATGAGCCTACTGATTTTACCAATGTCTGCGGGGCAGAAAAATTGCCACTACATTAGTAACAGTCCGGAGCTGCATGGTCTAGTGAAAATTTGAATCTTAATTCAGAACTCAATATTTTCAGCACCTTCCCTTCTGTTTGTGGGTTGACAATCAGAGGTAGAATTATTGCTATTTGTAGTCACATCAGCAGTCTGCATATTCAAATGCAATTCCCTTTCTCTGTCCCTGGCTGTCCCTGACAATCCGTGCTGTGCCCTGCAGGCTGTTTGACACACGGTACAGCATCCAGAGGAATGGGCAGCTGCTGACCATCCTGAGTGTGGAGGACAGTGATGATGGGGTGTACTGCTGCACAGCAGATAATGGAGTTGGAGCAGCTGCACAGAGCTGTGGGGCTCTCCAGGTGAAAATGCGTAAGTGGGAATGCAATGTCTTCCTGATGCCATGTGAGTGTTTAATCAAAAGCCTGAGCAGACTCCCATCTATGGCACCTGGGGATCCATGTTCAGGGCAAACCCATTCTTGGTTCTTGGGAAGGTGGGTGCAGTTCTTTCAGTCAGAGACATGGCATACGGGATCATAACTAAATGCAGTTGTGATTATTTACTTTGAATAACACATATTTGTTCTAAGATCAGAAGAAAAAATGGATGCTTTGAAGAATGCCCTTTGTGCAAAAATCTGTAAAAGAGTTTGATAGACTAGTCCTCTGTGGCAATACTGCTTAAGTCCCTGGTGAATTTTAATTGTAAAATTTCACTATACAGATTTCTTCCTGAGGATGGCAAAATCAACTAAATTATATTCAGATGCTCTGAATAGCAGTATTGAATGTTCTGGAACACCATGTTGTAAATCTCATCATTCCACATGGAGGGCAAAAGATTTGCTTTTGCAGAGAGCTACATACATGCCAAACTCAGTAAAGCTGGACTCACATTGCCAGAGTTATTTACACAAGCACTTTAAAAGGCAGTGGAGGTATATTCTGGCTAAAGCATCTGTTTGTAGGAAAGGATTTGTCTGTGCTAATGAGATGACCCTGAAGGTCAGGTAATACTGGAACTCTGCATCATCCTAGTCACTTGCAGGTGGTGGCCAGGAGATGATGCTCTCTGAAAGTTTTTTTTCTGCTGGTTCATTTATCATGCAAGGGCCTCAAAATGTCAGATCTCCCAAAATACTAATATAATAATCCTTTATACTCTCAGCTCAGACTAAGGCAGACTGTGTTCTTTCAGTAAAATGAATTTAAATTTATCCCTCATTAACTTTAAGGGAGTTTGATTGTGTTTTCTTTTAGCCTTGATTGTCCTTTTCACTAGCATAGTTATAAATCCTTCATTTAAGGATGTTAATTGCATTTACACACCCTCCTTGTTGAGCTAGAGGCAAGCCTGGGTTAAAATTCTTTCAAAATCAATTCAGTCCAGATCTGAGCTTTGAGACAAGACAGTGTTTACGCAGTGAAAAATGTCAGAACCTGGAATGCTAACATTCTTCAATACTGGAAATACTCTTATCTGAATTTGGATTTTAGCCCAGGCCCTAATTCAAATGACTGTCAAACTCCACTCAGGAAAACAAATAACCCGTGCAAGTTAGCTGTTTTTGCAGCTTTTTTAACTGAATGCTTTGCTGAAGAAAGTTCTTTCTTACCAAATAACTTCAAAACCAAGAAAGAATGCTTTATCTTCCAGCAATACAGAGAAAAAGCAGCAGATTTGTGCATGTAATTCCTGAATTTGCCTTGTTCTATTATCTTGTACCTTCATCCCAAGTTTAATTTTTGGCTTTAAAAATTTTAGGACCCAAAATAACTCGTCCACCTGTAAATGTGGAAATAATAGAAGGATTAAAGGCTGTTCTTCCATGTACTACAATGGGGAATCCAAAACCTTCTGTTTCATGGGTCAAAGGAGAAACAGTTGTAAAGGTGAGTATGAATGGTTTTCAGTAATACTAAATATTTGCTAAAGGTACTGTGTTAAATATTAGCATAAGTTATAGTATTTGTAAATTCTAGTAGCTAGAAAGGAAGCATTTGGAAAATCCAGGGCTCATCTCATAAATATCTTCATTTGCAGTGATTCTACATGTGAATGAAATGTTCTCTGTGTATCTATATTTTATGTGATATATGCTTGTCACTGCTAAGTATGGACAAATACTGAGGAAAGCACTTGTGAGTGTTCTCTTAAATAGGAGCTCTTTCAAGCTATAACTTACTGATCTGCAAAAACAGCAATGGGTGAATGTGTCATGTCATGAGCAGGAAGAGCTGGCCCCAAATCCTTGAGTTATAGGACATGTATAGTGCTCATGCATGTAAACCCAAATTTTGTAAACGGATTTTTGATGCTGTTTGTGTGCAGCCTGCATGTAGAGTCCTCACCTCAATGGCTCCTTCCTCCGGCAGGAGACTGCTCGCATTGCTGTCCTCGATTCCGGGAATTTAAGGATACACAATGTTCAGAGAGAAGATGCAGGACAGTATCGTTGTGTAGCCAAGAACAGTTTGGGCACAGCCTATTCGAAACCTGCAAATGTGGTAGTGGAAGGTGAGTGACTTTTGAACCAGTCTCCAGCTCCATGTGCCAGCCCCTCATGCATACCCCGTTAACTTGAATTTACCTGAAGCAGTGTGTTGATGTTGTCAAAACCACCCTATAGGGCAATAAAAAAAAGGGAGAGGAGAGGAGAGGAGAGGAGAGGAGAGGAGAGGAGAGGAGAGGAGAGGAGAGGAGAGGAGAGGAGAGGAGAGGAGAGGAGAGGAGAGGAGAGGAGAGGAGAGGAGAGGAGAGGAGAGGAGAGCTTTTGCCTTTGTGTACTTAAACATTTTCTGCCCACTAAATGAACACTAGGTTGGCTTTTCAGTTTCTGGTCCTTATGTGCTTTGTGTCCAGTTCTTATGTGCAGAAGGTATTTGCTTTGTGGTGTAACCATCACCAGTTTCAGAGTGCTGAGAACAGTAGACAGGGGTACCCAAATGTTGGCAACAAGGCATTCTATCTTCCTGAATCGTATAAGAGAATTTGGTTTGGGCAAGGGCTTGTGGAGTGAGTGGGGGACTGACTGATTTAGTAGACAAACAAATTTTTATTTCTGATTCAGGATGACTGTAATGTAGAAAGTAGAGAGGGTCTTCATTTTCTGAGTAGGCCTCAAAATACTATTGTAGGTTACATTTGGCCTGGAGCTATCCGAGGTTACTTAGCGTGCAATCCCATTTCTAAGAAGAACGTAGACTTCCTTCTGGGAGCAGTACCAGATGTATTAGATCCAGCTACACATTACTGTAGGTCTGCTGTTTTCTTAAAAAATACATGAATTTTTCAGGGTTTTTTGGTCCCTTTTTAATATTTATATATACAGACCATGTATACTAGAAATTCCTTAAATAGCTTTAAAAAAGGAAGACAGCTATTCTTAACCTAGATTCAGAACTGTACTTCTCCCAGGCTAAAAGTAGTGAAGCAAACTGAAAACAGCTGGATCTTGATGTGAACAACTTGAGTCCTGGGTTTTAGTTCGGCCCCTGTCACTGAGACAATGGGCAAAGGCTTGTCAAGAGTTAAACTGTGAATGGCAGATTGATGCTATGAACACAAATGCTGAAGGGACTCTGTCACTGCAATTCTTTGCTCCAGATTCTGCCAAAGCCAGTTAGGGAATCTAAAAACAAGCTGGAATTGCACCAAAAATCCAGGCTGCTAAGGTTGATGGTTTTTCTCCATCTCCAGAATTATGCAGTGGCCTGTTAATTCAAGGACTGGCAAAATAAATCACAAATACCCTACTTGGGGTGTGTATGTGTGCTCTTTTTAAAAGGAGGAAGATTAGTTCCTAATTGATCAGTGTCAGGTCAATGCTCCCACACAAATTGTCCCCTCATGCTCCATTCATTTGTTGGGTGAACAAATAAATGCTCTTCTTCAGCCTCACCTGGGTTTCTGTGGTAGGACACCTGTATAATATACCTAATTTCAGGTGGCCACCCAAACTAGACAGACACATGTTTGATTTATATTTTTGGCTTCCAAAATCCAGAGGTATTAATCCTGATTTAGTACATAGAGTGAACTGGATCCATTTGTTCAAACTGACATCAACATTCATAATCCTGACACAGCAGCTTGCTGTGCATACAAATCCCTTCCCCTGATGGTGTTTTAGATCAATTTTCATGGATATTTAGCATAACTACATGTGCGCATACCTGTGTACGCCTGCAAGTTGGTATTTGCACACATCACCCTCACACACCTCTACCATTATTTTTAGTATCCCTCCCCTCCTGCCTCTCCTACCCCATTAGTATCAGCATTTGAAAATAACTCCAAGTAAATAATATGCTAAAATTATTCAAAGCAGGAAAATCACACTTCAATATTCTTTGAGCATTCATAGTGTTAATAAAATTTATGAAAATTGTTGTTTATTGCTTCTCTGTAATAACGTTATGATTTTTTTTGTTAATCTTGGTCCTAGTATTTGCTGGAGTCCTCAGCCTGCATTGTGTGGTTTAACATTAAAATAAAGTGAATAAGCATGGCTGGTTAACTAGGAATATTTAATTCAAGGCAAGTGTCCATTCAAGGAAAAGTGTAAGTATTTATGCCTAGCTAGAGCTAAATCACTGATTTATTGTGTACTTCCATTTTAATGGGTCCTGTGTGGCATCCCACCCTTACACAGAAGGGAGCTCCCAAGGACCATAGGTCCTTGTGGTTGAAAGGAATGACAAAAGTAAGAGTGCCTGCAAAAGCTTGCAAAGTTTTATTAATAAATTACACATTTGGCATGGAAATGTGTATGGTAATCCCTGACCTCCTATATAAGCATGGGGCAGTGGATTTTGATAAAGGGTTAGGATGAAAGGAGAGGGACTGAGAGAGAGAGAGAGGATTAAAGAGGAGGAGAGAGAATGAACAGAAAGGAAGAGGGCAGCACCACCAGTCCTGGTTCCAGCATCAATCCAGCTGATAGGTATGCAGGCCCCTGGAACACACGTGTGTCCCGGCTTTGTTGTCCTTTTTATAGTGAAGTTTCCATGCACTGGAGCTAAGTTTGTCACTCTCTACGCAAATGAGTTATCATGTGCAGCCTGTTATTTTTGACCTTTGTGGAAATGGGTTGGGGGGCTTCAGGGATCTTGGGTACTCTTGATCCCCCCTTACATTCCATGCTGGCTCATCAGCATCACTCCTGTGCCTCAGCTGTACTCTGTTGTGCTAACTCTGGGAGCCAGAACAAGGACTCTTGTGCCAGAAAGGCACTGCCCTACTTCCATTTGGCCCCTTTCTCCAGTCATGGTTGGTAATTGGCTGGCACTACCAACAATCCTGGGTTGGCTCCACAGCTGTGTGGCTATCAGTGTTTGAGACATACATATTAGCCCCTTATCATCTGGCTTCCACATCCTGCAATTAGCTTAAGGCATTTGTTCAAAGTGCAGAGGTGTTCTTGAAAGACTGACTCTCTGCCCTCTGCAGGCAATCAGGCTCCTAAATGTGCTTTGATCAGGCACATGCTTAAATGACTTGCTCAAGTTGGCCCAGAACTTGCAGCAAGTCACAAGTATATAGCGTGAATTGTGCAGGGTCCATTTTTTCAAACTGACAACAGACTTGGCCCAAAGGTTTATACTACTGATGTACCTTACAGTACTACTTGTCTGGTTTCAGTGGTCCAAGGTAGAACTATTTGAAAAATGCTGCTATTTTGATTTTCCAAATATTTTTTCATCTATTCCTTGCCAGTTTTCCTCAACATTCGTAATACTGACCTCTATTTATTACTTTTAAAGCATAGCTTTAGTATTTTTAAGGTTTTATTATTTTTAAAGCAAAGTTGAAATAATTTGAGCAATAGGCTTTAGATGAAAATTCAGATGCAGTTCTTGTCAGGAAAAAGAAAGCATTGAAGGCCTCTTTTAGTGGAACTGATTTCTCAGTTTTCATCAGTGAATGTTGTGAAGGAGATAAGGACTCTATAGGCTCTCCACTCTGCATAGACCTGTCCCAGGTAAGAGCAGCCCTTTTGCTTTCCCAGGGCAGGTTTCAGGCACCAGGGCTCAGGTCATGAATTATAATAAGTTAATTCTGGCTCAGGATTTTAATTGAAAGGGTTAAAAAGCCTGCCTTTTTGCATCTTTTATCCAACTCTGGGGCAAACTCAGAAGAATTTGGACAAGTGATGGTGAAATAGGTTTTTTTCTTTAAAGGCATAATCCACAAGTGCTAGATATACAATCATAACAGACCTAATTGTTGGGTTTGTGGGAAGAGCTTGGTTCCTCACTGGGAACGGTGTTGAGTCTCTGGACAGCACTGCCCTCACTCAAAGTCTGCCTGGGGTGCCTGGGGGGCATTCGGAGAAGAAAGAGGCCATGGAGCATCCCCTTGATTTGACATCAGAAACCAGGCTCTGGAGATAAGGTATGGAGAAAGGATGCAAGAGGCAAGCATTGGCCAAGTGAGCCAAATGAGTGACTGTTCAAGGCAGGCATCACTCCTGAAGAAGGATTGCACACAATTTTTGTCATCTTGGGGCATCCTGTAGCAGTAAAGTGATACATATCTTTGGTTTCCCTCTGAGGAATGTCTCGGAGGAGTAGGGCTGGTTCTTTCTGACATCTGCTGGGATCGTTATAAATTAGTTCTTCATTAGTGAGCTGGTTCACAGCTGTGCAGAAGCTGCATGGTTGTATTTTCCTCACCTGGTTCTTCTAGTTACAGCCCACTCAGCTTAAGAGAAAAGGACTAGTGAAAGTAATGGCATGAAGCAGAAGTTCAATAGGCAGAAACAAGCTTTTTCCACAAAGGAGAAGACTTTTGCTTTCTGCAAAGCCAAACATATAAGAAATGTGCTGTGTTTGGTCTGCTAAAATTAGCATGTGAAGATGACTTCCTCTTGCTATTGTACATCCAGAAGTTGGAAGGTACATTGAGATACAGAAAGTAAAGTGTGCTTTGAGATAAAGGAACAATATTATAATCTTGACTGTTTGCCAAGAAATGAGTTTTTAATTTCCTGGAGGCAACATTTCTGACCTGCAGTTATGTATTCATTTTCTATCATCTTAAGCATTTTGCTAATTAGCTTTTTAATCACTGCATTATCAACTTTGGTAATGTATACTTCTGCAAAACCTAGAAGAGTATTTATATACTCAGTGAAGCAGTACTTTGCCAAAAGATTTCCAAAGATTTCTTGTTGTGTGCTGCATTAATTCTCAAAGTGAATCTCTGGCTGAAAGGTTCCTGAGTTAATCCAAGATTCAGGACTGTGGTTGAATAGAGGCATTTGCTTGCTTACCTGATCTGTAGTTCACATAGATGTCTGAAGGCTGAAGTTTATTGACAAGATGTTGACTGAGATGACTAAGATGTTCCAGTTTTATCTGAAATCTGAAATCACTCCATTGAAAATAGAGAAGCAGTCATTGCCATCAATAGTGTTGAGGTTTGTCATCAAATGCAGAAATTACCATTGATGAAAGTGAAAACTTAGGGAAGGGTATAAAGATTTAAGCTGTGCCAAGAAGGCATTTTTTGGGCCTCCTCTGAGCATTTGAAATCTGTAGGGTCTGTAAGACCTTTGATTTTTTTCCTTTATGCATTAGACAGCTATTTATGTACATAAGCCATAGAAGGGGAGGAGTTTTCATTTTTGTTGGTATTTGCAGTGACATCAAACCGTTTCACAAAAGCCATGCAAGAGCTTTTTGGGTTCAGGTTCTGGGCCTGCTGCCTAAAATTGCACAGTCTCCAAGGTCTGACATGAGCTAAGAATGATATTCCCCATATCCATTATGTGTGGATTCCCCATATCCAGGAATTGTGTGATATTAAAAGAATATATTTAAAGCCATGAGCTCTTGTGTGGTGAGAGGCATGGGATTATTCCTGTTATGAGCATGCTTATCACTCAGACACAGAGTGAAGCTGCCTCATTAATTTTTTCTTAACTGCAAAATAAATTCCATTGGATGGTTTTGCTTTAATCTCTTACTATCTTTTTCAGATATTATCCTTATAGCCAGTGTTCAGATTATATGTAATTTCTGCATCAAATAAGAAGTGTGTATTGCAGAACAGCCACAAACCAGTAAATTTTGTGATGATTTACAGGTGCCATTGCCAGATCTGGGCTCAGTTTTTTCTTTGTTTTGAAGAATGTTTCTTCTGCCCTAAGGGGAAAGGAAGTGCCACTTTGTGAATTGGTAGAATTCACATGAAGAAGGGCTCTTGTTCTTCATTCTTCAAAACAACAATTAAAAAAAAAATCACAAAAGAAATTGAAAAGTTGACTATGAATTTCTGACCTGCTTACAAATGAAAAGACACCAAAAACCACATTTCAGCCTTAGCCTTATACTTAGCTTTAACTATTGAAAGACCATTTTCTGGAAATTATTGGAGTTATTGTCACTGAAATGTACAAAGGGTTGTGGTGGATTAGGCACCACAGCAGCATGTGAATGAATGGCAGTTTTCTGACTAGGGAGACAATGTGAATGGTCTACTGGAATGTGGCGTGCAAAAGGTTTTTCTTCCCCTGCAGGTAAAGAACAAACTTCCTGTTTTTCTCAGTGTTGCATCCAGCTAGTGAAACCTCTGAAGTTCCAGTTTGCTCAGTGATGCATTTTTAATGTTGAAAAGTGTAGAAAAAGGCAATAAATACAGGGACTGCTATGTGACAGGAGAAAGCACGTGGATGGTCCTGTTGGTTGTGTACTGAGTTAGATGCAACTCCATCTTGTGATTTATATGAAACTGAGCTTGATCTCCACCAGCCTGTGGCACCAGAGACTTGTGGAATTCAGGAGCATACTGTGTGATAACCTTTCGTTTTGAAGTTGTCACTCTACAGACATGTGTAGAAATTAGCAATCATACATCTGTAAGGAAACAAACAAACAAAATAGCCAGGGCAAACATTAGAAGAGGCAATGTGTTTAACAAAAAAACTACCTGTATTCTCCATGGATATATTAACATTTTTGGTTCAAATCTCTGCATTTTCCAGCTGTCTGAAGAGGCATCAGTTAAGGGCTACTGACCCTTTCTTTAACTAGGCCATTTCATTAATTTCTTTGCTGAAGTGTTGCTGCTTCACTTCCTCCTGTGCTACTCTGTGGCAGTACATAAAACAATCAAATTAAAACAATTAAAGAACCAAATCTGCTTATACTGCCCTGACTTAGATGTTGTTTTGTTTTGCATTCCTGCTCTGGTAGATAGATGTCTTTTCCTGGCCACATTTTATTGCTTATTACTAGCTACTAAAATAATACCCTGCCACAGGCCACAAAAATGTTTCCCTGTAAGCCACTTCTGAAAACTGCCTTAGCCTTAAAAATAGGAAAGCTTTCCTTGGAGAACCATCCATTCAGCAGAAAAGACTTGCCAGATTCCATCTAGATTTTTATTTTAATCATGTAGTCTAATTCTTGTGCCAGTAAGGAGATGGCAGACAAATTGTCAATAGAAAGCAATGCCATTGCTGCTTAGTTAAGAGGCTGTCCCTCTGAAGTGTAAAGCACTAATTTCCTTCAGCTGCTTTTTGGATGTCTTACATAGTCTTGGGACAAATTTGAGATAAATCAGATAAAGCACAGATAAATCAGCAGACTAGCAAGTCACACCAAAATTCAAGTAACAGGAATAAAAACATGTATTTAGTGAAGAAAATTCTATCAATTTGAATAGACCACATTCCAGAGGTGGTCTATATTATGATTGAGCTGACTCCTGATATACCATCCAAAAAGTTTTTTACACTTTTGTGTCGACTTGCCTGCAAGTGGCATAGATGATGTAGGACAGGCAGATACCAAGAGACCACTGAAGCAGCCAGTCAGCACTGTTGCCTTGCATTTCCCACAAATTAGATTTCAGTGTGAAATCAGAATTTTTATCTCTATCATCTTTTGAGGCAGAGTGTTTTGGGTCAGGTGAATTGCCAAATAGTAAACTGGCAAGGAAGTTTGCAGTTCTTCTTTTAAGTATTGGATGAAATTTCTTCACGGAAATTCTAATAACAACACTGAAGAAGAGCCTTTGGCTTGGCCTTGAGCAGAGGCAGAAGCTCTGGGAAAGGATGCCTTTCCTGTTTGTGTTGGTGCTGGTGTATGTACCTGCAGGCAATGTCCTGTGACAGTAAAGGGTACAGCAGTTTGATTTTAAACATTGTAAAATGTTTATGGGGAGGAAGCATTACAAGTTTGCCTGTAATTACACCAAAGTATTTGGCTGACCTCAGTGGGATGGCGTGGGCGTAACTGAGAACCCAGAATATCTCATTAAATCTCCTCCTACCTGTGGCACTCACCAGAGTCATCCCAAGGTTCTGAGATGCTGCAGAAGCAATCATGGCCCTAATTACAGGGTAACAGGGAAAGCTGCAGGAGGAAGAAAGCAGCCTCAGACCTTCAACAAATGACAAGTACATGTGAGCTATTCAGTTTACTCCCGAAGCTTGCTCCGCTGTGACATTGGCAGGAGGTTCATGCTGCCTTTGAGTCATTATCACAGGGTGGCCTCTTGCAATGAGGAGCTGCAGTGAGGCTTCAGACAAGGCACATACACAGAATTCTTCTTTAAAAGAATTTGAGCCTGTTATTTCCTTTTGCAAAAGCCTCTTTCCCCTAACCAAGACCTTGGGAAGGCACTTGAAAAACTTATGACATTCTCACATCATTGAATGAATTGTGGGTTTAAGAGAAAAAATGACATGGCAATTAAAATCCTTCTCTTCTCTAAACTGTTGGCTAGCTAGAAAGCATGAGCTTCCCACAGAACAATGGAGGGAGTGGAGGATAGAGAATATCCATAGCTATCAGATAAAGGAGACCAGAGCAAACTGAGACAAGCATTCTGAAGTCGCTGGAGCTCCTCATAGACCCTCACAAAAAGGGTATATCAAATGGGGAGTTGAGAATTTGGAAAAGAGATGGATCTCTGTTGTAGGAGGAACTACATGAGTTTTCAACACTAAAAATCAAGAATGTGTGATGGATAAGATGAGCAGGGAACAGGTTCCTTGCTGTCCCCAAACGAAGGAACATCCTAGCAGGTACTGAGCAGCACTTTAAACCAGACAGAAGGAAGTACTTTTCACATGATATGTAATTAAATTTATGGTATTGCTAATACCAGTGGTGAAGACCAGATGTCAGGATGATGTGTGGATTATCTCATTTTTGGGTGTGCATAGCCACGATTTCGATATGTGCACACAGACTAGTAGCCTTGGCAGCAGTCATGATGGGTAGTGATCATGAGTGGAACAAGCAAAGGAATTGCTCCTTGACTTCAGGAGGCTGGGAACTTCCTTTCCAATTTCACATTCAGTAGTGGGTAGGGGCAAAGATAAATGCACCAGATTTGACTCTGTACTGTGGACAAGACAGATCATAAGGAGGTTTAAAAGGGTTTTTCCTTCAAAGAAACCAAACACAAATATAAGACCAGTAATGACATGAGAAGAATTTCCTCATTCATTTCCTTGGGAAGTAATTTGAACGCATTATCCTCACTTGTCCTTGAATCTAGTGTTTGCTCTGTATATAGAGACGAACACTTGTACAGAACAGGTTTTATATAGTTACACAGGATATAAGCTATCTATTTACATTTTACTCCTGGTTATTACATCTTTGTGTATTTGTGGTGTCTCCTTTTAGGATTCCAGAGACATCTACATGGAGTGTAAAGTCCTTCACAGCTGAGAAGTTAGTGGCTGATACATTTACCATCACATGAGTCCTTCTACTAATGTAAATT